TTCTACTAATAATCTTTTTTAAAAAAAAAAAAAAAAGAGAAAAAGCTATTTTATAATTGTTAGCAACTTTGTTATGGCAAGCGCAGCAGAACGCGTTTGGAAAGCGAGGGCCGCCGAAGGCAGCAATGGTTTCCATCTGTGTTGACGTTGGCCGCGCAGCCCTGCCCGCCCCAGCTGCACGCAGTAACCGCTGCTCCGGCGGGGTCGAATTCAGACAAGCACCATTTGTGTTTCATTTCCTTTTTTCTTTCTTTCAGAATAACATTTTGTCTAAAAACAAGCATGTTTTTTTCCCCCCGGATCGTTATTGGAACCTCTTATTTGTTTCTGGGTAAAAGATAGCTTCGAAAGCTCGTTCCTGTGTCAAGTCGAAATGGGAATGGCTCTCAGGACAGATATTTCCTGGGTGAATTAGGTTTAATAATGATAGGAATTTCATGTAGCCTCTGTGCACCTGACGGGGAACGTAGTTGGAGGCTAGACCGCAATTTTAATATACCTGCCTTTTGAAAGGAGCGGTGGGGCTCCTCACTGCCCCGGGAGCAAACCAGGGAGCGAACGCTGACCCTGCCCCGCCAGAAGGCGGCTCTGCCCACCTGAGCGCAAGGAGGAAACGCCGAGGCGTTTCTGCCCCTTGCGTCGGGCAGTTCGGGCCCGGCGGAGCCACCCACGCGAGCGCCGGCGGGCAGGGCGAGATTCACAGCCTCCTCTCAGGTGTCCCCCATATTAACAGCCGTCTGGTATCTTTCCGTGTCCCGTGTGCCTGTTAGGGCAGCGGCCGGTACACGCGAAAGCCGTCGTTTGTTTTGTGACGCCGCGCAGGTTTGCAGTTTTTTTTTAATTTTCTGGTTCTTTGGCAGATAATTTCTGTAGCAAAACTGGCCTGTGAGGAAAACTCGCTTGGTTCGCATTGCAGATAACAGTAATTGCCGCCTTTTATCTGTGGTTGAGTGTGACTAATAGTAAGTTGGCTACGTTGTTTGATGTAGACGTAATGTTCGTGTAAGTCTCAGTCTGACCAAATTTTTTGTGTTTGGTCCCAGATCAGTTCACTGTTCATGAGGAAGTTGCTAATTTTACTAGGAGGTCTGTTAGGGCCTGATGAACTGCAGGGCTGATTTTTTTCGCTAGCTACTTACCTTTCTGTAAGTAGCTATAATATACGATATAGAGCACTTTCCGGGTGGGAAAACCTACTTTATGTAAAGCTAACGACAGAGCACGCTCAGGGTGGGAGTCGTCTCGCTGAGCTGCTAAGAGCTAGGAGTCCCGTGCAGTTTTGCAACCAGTCATGAGATTTGGGGATGTCTAGCTCTGAGGTATGCAAAGACGAATCCAGGCCTGAAAGTGCCCATGGAAGTTATTGCAAAATAACTAGTGCCCTCTGAACGCATGCGCTGTTAAAAAGAGGCTTACTTAGGAAACTAGTCACGCCGACTTCACAGTATTCACAGAATCGTTTAGGTTGGAAGGGACCTCTGGAGATCACCTAGTCCAACCTCCCTGCTCAAGCAGGGTCACCTAGAGCATATTGCCCAGGATCACATCCAGGCGGCTTTTGAATATCTCCAGCGAAGGAGACTCCACCACCTCTCTGGGCAGCCTGTTCCAGTGCTCTGTCACCCTCACAGTGAAGAAGTTTTTTCTCAGGTTCAGATGGAACTGCCTGTGGTTCAGTTTCTGCCCATTGCCTCTTGTCCTGTCGCTGGGCACCACGGAGAAGAGACTGGCCTCATCCTCTTGACACTCCCCCTTCAGATACTTGCACACGTTGATGAGATCGCCTCTCAGTCTTCTCTTCTCCAGGCTGAACAGGCCCAGCTCTTGCAGTCTTTCTTCATAGGAGAGGTGCTCCAGCCCTCTAATCATCTTTGTAGCCCTCCACTGGACTCTCTCCAGTAGGGCCATGTCTCTCTTGCACT